CCTCCTCCTCCTCCTCCTCCTCCTCCTCCTCCTCCTCCTCCTCCTCCTCCTCCTCCTCCTCCCCCTCCTCCTCCTCCTCCTCCTCCTCCTCCCCCTCCTCCTCTTCGGGCGCGCTGGGAAGCCTATTGGGGCCCTCTTGGGCTCTCTTAGGGCCCTCGGGGACCTCTTGGCCGTATTGGGGCCGTCTGGGGGCCATCTTGGGCCGTTTTGGGCCCCTTTGGAGCGCCTCTGGGGCCGTCTTGGGATGATCTTCGGGGCCTTGTAGGCCGTCTTGGGCCCGTCTGGGGGCCCTCTTGGACCGTTTTGGGGCCGTTTGGGACGCCTCCGGGGCAGTCTTGGGACGATCTTTGGGGCCTCTGGGCCGTCTTGGGCCCGTCTGGGGAAGAAACGGGCCATGGGAGCCGCCCAGGAGCCGCTTCACTCGAAAAAATACAAGGGAAACGGGCTATTAGACCAGGCGCCTGCGCCTCGCACCCCCCCTGGACCCCCCCATTTAGGGCTTCGCCCCCTACTCAACGTCACTCGCTCGTACCTCGCTCTTTCCGTCACCTGGCCCCGCACGGAAACGGAAAGAGCGCCTCAGACAAATTGACCGAAATTACTCACACCACCGTTCGTACTGGGAGCCTTGGCGTTGAGAGCTTGTTACGTCACCCCTCGCTCTTGGGAGCGTTGGGGTTCAGAGATTGTTGCGTTGCCGCCCGTTCCTGAGCCTTGGCTGGGCCTTGGTGTCAGGAACTTGTTACGTCACCGCTCTCTGCTGGGAGCCTTGGTCTTATCAGCTTGTTTACGTCACCGTTCGCTCTTGGGAGCCTTGGTGTGAAGAGCTTTTTGCGGTACCGATCGCTCTCTATTTGGCGTCTCTGGGCCTTCTTGGGAGTCCTATTGGAGCCCTTGTCGGGCCCTTTTGGAGGCCTCTTGGGAACCTCTTGGGGGCCTCTTGGGGCTTCTTGGGGGGATCTGGGGGCCTCCTGGGAGCTTCTTGGGGCGAAAGGCTAGACTTTTCGGTTCGTGGTCCCCCTCTGGGGGCCGTCTTGGGGCCCTCTTGGGCCGTCTTGGGCGCCTCTTGGGCCGTCTTGGCGCCCTCTTGGGCCGTTTTGGGGGCCTCTTGGGAGCCTCTTGGGCCGTCTTGGGGCGGTCTTGGGGGCCTCTTGGAGCGTCTTCAACGCAGTGAAAGCCGAAAAGCCTTGTATGCTAAAAATGTACCTTTTCCCATCGGAAATCAATGATTTTCGCCTCCCGGTGGCCTCTTGGGACGCCTCTTGGGGGCCTCTTGGGGCTTCTTGGGGGGCTCTGGGGGCCTCCTGGGAGCGTCTTGGGGCGAAAGGCTAGACTTTTCGGTTCGTGGTCCCCCTCTTGGGGCCGTCTTGGCGCCCTCTTGGGCCGTCTTGAGCGCCTCTTGGGCCGTCTTGGGGCCCTCTTGGGCCGTTTTGGGGGCCTCTTGGGAGCCTCTTGGGCCGTCTTGGGGCGGTTTGGGGGGCCTCTTGGGCCGTCGTCGACGCCGTGAAAAAACGACAAAGCGCACATGCTAAAAATATACGTTTTCCTTTGGAAAATCGATGATTTCGGCCTCTTGGGGCCCTCTTGGGACGCCCCTCTTGGGGGCCTCTTGGGGGCCTCTCGGGCCGTCTTGGGCGGTCTTGGGCTCTGTGGGAGCGCTCTTGGGCCGTCTTGTGGGGGAACCCGAAAAACATGCAAAAACCCTTGGGAAAGCCCGAAAACGGCCATCAACACCCAAATGTGCACGCTTCGCCCCTCCCCTGGAACCCCTCCCTTTAGGGCTTCGCCCACACCAAAACGTCATCACTCGTACCTCGCTCTTTCCGTTACCTGGCCCGGCACAGAAACGGAGAGAGCGCTTCAGAAACAGACACCGAAATTACTCACACCACCGTTCGTACTGGGAGCCTAGGAGCAGCCGCCGGGGAAAGGGTCGCGAGAGCCGGGGGTCTCGCGCATCGGAAAAAAGGGCGCTGGAAGCATGCATGTTGCTTGTACGAGGACGAGGACAAACTCGAGGACGAGGAGGAGGAGGAGGAGGAGGAGGAGCACCAGGACCTCGAGGACTGCGAGGAGGCAGGAGGGGGCAGGATCGAGGCTCGAGGAGGGCGGCGAGGAGCAAGAGGGAGCTTTCTGCCCCCCGAGTGGGCAGCAGCAGCAGGCCGCCTGAGCTTCTGGCAAGCTGGTGCTCGGGCCGCGGGGCTAGGCAGGCTTCATGCTGCCACCGACCGCCACGTTGGGCAGTTGTCCCATCAATCGCAGCCTCGGACAATCGGAGGGGGGGGGGAAAGGAGGGAGGCGGACGAGGAGGATCGACGACGACGACGAGGCAGAGGAGGATGCGGAGGAGGATGCAGAGGAGTGGGAGGCGGAGGAGGAGGCGGAGGAGGAGGAGGAGGAGGAGGAGGAGGAGTAGGAGTAGCAACAGCAATATGTCATGCACATGTTGGCGCACCCAGTAGTGCATAAGTGCTGTCTGTCCCTTCCATGTGTACCCACACTGGTAGCTTCATGTCTGAATGGCGTGGCTTGGGGCCTAGCAGGAGAGGTCGACGGAGAGGGTTGGAAACGGAAGCACTTCGAGCGTCTCGCTGCCTGCGCACGCCTGCATGGGCTTCTGCACGTGCTCGCGAACTCGGCTGAGGAGTTGTCGTGCGTTCAATCGGGTTGCTGTGGCTTGCACGAGCGGCTGACCTGTTGCTCCGCTTGGCCCAGAGCAGGAAGGGGGGGCAGGCGCGAGTCCTGCCAGGGTCGCCATCGCAGTCTCTTGTCTTCTTCTTTATCGCGCGCAGTCGTGAAGGAATCGCCGCGGCACCCACCCTCGTGACGTCACGCCGGCTATAGCTCAGTTGGTAGAGCATCTGACTGTAGAGACTGCAGATATCAGATGGTCCCTGGCTCGATTCCGGGTGGCCGGATTTGCTGAGGGGCCTCGCTGCTCGCCCCAATCCCAGGTTTGAGGTGAGTAGCGGACCTTTTGGGGGGGGGGGGGGGGGGGTGGGGGGGGGGGGGGGGGTGGGGGGGGGGGGGGGTGGGTCGGGGGGGGGGGGGGGGGGGGGGGGGGGGCTTTTTTTTCTCTTCGTGTATGTATGTGCCACCCATCTCCCGCAGGCTCACCTGAGGCCCAGAGCCTGGTGGCTTGGGCCTCCCGCCCTGGCGGAGAGCCGACCTCCGCCAGGGTCTGGACGCAGGTGGAGCCCTTCGGAGGCCTCGTGGTGCCAGTCGGTCGCCCTCCCGAGGACGAGGAGGAGGAGGAGGCCTCGTAGCTTCAGCAAGTCTACAGCTCTACTATGGGGCCGAGGCCTCAGGGGTTGAGGTGTGCGGTGAGGCGGAGGTCGAACCCGCGTAGGCACGAGTCGAGGAAGTGGAGGAGGACCTGGAGGAGGAGGAGGAGGAGGAGGAGGAGGAGGAGGAGGAGGAGGAGGAGGAGGAGGAGGAGGAGGAGGAGGAGGAGGAGGAGGAGGAGGAGGAGGAGGACGAGGAGGAGGAGGAGGAGGAGGAGGACGACCTGGAGGAGTCCGAGGAGGAAGAAGAACAGAGAGAGGAGGGACGAAGGGGGACGCTTCCTCGAGCGCAGCGCGGAGTGCGCTGGTCAAGAGGCCCTCCTTCAAAACAAAAAGAGGCTCGCGGAGGCGAGCGCCAGGGCCGCGGCAGCGAGGCAGGGCTGTGCGGCGCGCGCCTGCAGCGCGTAGCAGCCTCTGCAGCGCCCAGCGGCCTGCAGAGGCCCAGCACTGGGAGGAGGCGCCTCGACAGCTCCAGGCTGGGTCGGCTGCACGCCGGAGCGGCCCTGGACAAGACTGGCCTTTCTGTGCGCGGCGTGCCGATCGTCGCATGCGATACGACAGTCGAGGAGCCCACAGAGGACGCACGCGCCCACCCACGTAGACGAGCACGACCCCTCGATCCGCGAGACCAGCCGAGGGATACGAAGGTTTGCGCAATGCGTACTCTCCAAATCGACGTGGATTCATGTACGTGTACGTCCTCCTGTCGCTCCTGAACAGTAGCAGCCTGCGCGCTCGGGTGTGCCCCTCCGCCTCCCCCCCGAGTGCCGCACGCCAAAGACCACTCCGGCGAAGAGCCGCTCTCACGCGTAGCCGAGCAGGGCTACTGGCCGCTAGCCGAAGGGACGGCGGCGCGCACAAAGGGGCAATCGCACTTTCCGGGGGCCGGCTCTGGCAGGAGTGCGATCGGCGCAGAGTACGCGGGCCAAAATCAAAGCTAACTAGTCGGCCAGCGAAGCAGTCTCTGGAGCTAATTTTGTCGCTGGCAAGCTGGTCGAAGAGGCCTCTGGAGAGGCCCAGCTACCAGGGCGGGCGCTGGTAGGCGAAGACGAGCTGGCCGCCAAGGGGCACGAACAAAAGGTGGGGCGAGGGCGGCTGCCTTCCGAGGTGGGGGGCTTCTTGAAGGCAGGAGGGGTTCTTGAATCCTTCCTGGGCTCTGAGAGATCGGGGATCTGCTGTCCCGGGGCAGTCCCGACCCGGGTCGGGCAGGCTCTGCAGGATCCTGCAAGATCCCGCAGGATCCTGCAGGATCCTGCACCCAAGCCCGGGTCAATGCAGCCACCCTGGCTCTGCAGGACCTCCTGCGACGCCCGGCGCTCTGACTAGACCCCCGTCTGCCTCGACCCCCGTCGACTGCGCCCCGAGAGAGGCCCTCCTCGAAGGCCCCCCCCCCCCCCCCGGCCCTTCCGAAAAGGGGCCCTCGCCGTCCAAGAAGCCGCCCGCCTCATTCGATGCAGGGCAGCGTGAAGGGGAGGGGCTGGCTCTCTCCCGAGCAAAGTGAACCCCACCCTCCCCCTCAGAAATCGTGTGGGGTAGGGGTAGGGTTCGCATGTGGCCCCCTACTGGGGGGGAAAGGGGCGGGGAAACATCGACCCGGAATCGGCGGTACAGCGTGCCTCGAACAGTGTAAATCCACCCTCGGATCCCTTCTTATCCTTCGGGCCCCATCCCTCGGGACCCCACCTCTGGTGAGGGGCAACGACAGAAAGGGCCTGG